TATATATATATATATATATATATATATATATATATAAATAATTGTATATGTGTCTACCTAACAAGGTCCCATTTCCCCCCAAATACATAGTCCTGTTTCCTTTAAAATGTTTAAGTGCATAATTCAGCCACCTAAAGTTGTAATCATTGGTTTTTTAGTATATTCAGAGTTGTACAATTTTAGAATATTTTGACCACCTTGAGAAGAACTCCTTACCCTTTAAAAAGCTGTCATCCTCTTATCCTTGCTTCTCCCCAGACCCATGCAACCACTAATCTGCTTTATATCTCTATAAATTTCCCTATACTGGATATTTTATGTGAATGGCACCATATCCTTTCATGTGTTGTAAGTTACATATTAAATGCTTACAAAAAGTTTGCTGTGTAGAGGAATCTGGTAGGTCAATCTTTAATTTTGTATTTCTAAATGTTTAAAACCATTTAAAGTTAAAATGCTTCCCCCACCAAAATATACTTGAAGTAGTTGACTGATCAAAGGAATGAACAATATTTATGTCATCATGATCAGACATATGTAATCTTTCTATGTAATTATCAGCATGTCATTTGAAATAGTGAATTTCAAAGCTATAAGGAGGTTTTTTTTTCCAATTTTGAAATGAGATCTTCAGAGCAAGTTAGAAATGTTTATAGATATTCAGTTTTGAGTGACTCATTCATTTCAGGTGGGCGTTTTAGCTAGCAAAAAATCTTCATTAAAGCAATAACTTGAGCTTTGTTAAGTTACTGAATTTCTTTAGATTGTTTATCTTAAAAGGAAAATTGCTTTTTATAAATATTTTATTGACTTTTCCAAGGCAAGTTTAAAATAGAATATTACCTTTTAAGCAAAGGTAATTAAGCACTTTGCATTAAGTTTGTATAGGAATTGAGCACTGTGTGTTAAGTTTTATGCATGTTAAGCATCCCTAAAATCTGAAACTTTTTGAACCACACATGATGCCACAGGTAGAAAATTCCACACCTACTAGCATGTGGTGGATTGTAGTTATGCACATTAAAAATATTATATAAAATTACCTTTAGGCTGTGTGTATGAGATACATAGGTACAAGAAAATTCGATGTTTAGACTGGGATCCTCTTTCCAGGATGTTTTATTATGTGTCTGGAGACA